AAAAAAATACCCCCCCCCCCCTCTCTCTCCCCCCCCCTTCCCATAAAAAAACAACAACAAAAAGGAGAACGTCTTTTTAGGGAAATTATTCGTCCAGAAATCTACAGTGCATAAAAATTGTGCACCTTCTTTTTTTTGCATACGCTGCTATCCCGCTGATCACTTTTCAATGAGATCGGTGGATCGTGCCACTCACTGGCGCAGAAAGCGTGGGTGCACTTTGTTGCGCTTCATTTCTTTTATTGCGTGTTTGTGTGCGTGTGTGTGTGTGGTGGGGCGGCCCCGGGGGAGGGGGGGCAGAGTTTCTTCATTTTTGCGGCCGGCTCGATTACATTACTTCATACGGCTTTTAGTTTGATGTGCTATCTGTACATTCTGTAGTTTTCGTAAATTAACGGTGACAAAATAAAGGACAGCCGGGTGTGCCACGAACCTTCGCGCCTCTCACTAGTTTCAATACACGTTGCACCGGGAGAATTGCAGTCAGAAAATCAAGTGTGGATTGGGTCAGATGGGTGCATATACGAATCCACACAAGACGAATAAGGTTTTGTTATCGTGGGGGAAAAAATTGGATCTTTCGATAACAAAGACTTTAAGTAAAGGTCATGGTGAAAATACCTCTTTACTTGAACAACCCTTAAATATTTTTTTCATCTTTTTAATTCGCCTATGTGCATTTTTTTATTTTTTTATTTTGTTTAATATTCTAATGTCCCACCCGCTCTTACAGTGCATAATTATTTCATCAACTATTTCAAAAAAACAAAGAAAAAGAAAATAAAATGCACAAAACGTATTTGCGCATATATTTAAGAATCCGATTTAGTGCAGTTATGGGAGTTTTTTTCCCCATGAAATCAGTGACATCATATTTTTTTTCCTCTTCCCCTTGTAAAACAGGAAAAATAATTTTTGGGGGGTTCGGAGAGTGGGGCTTAAAATGGGATAGAGTGTGTTGTCATTAGCAACGAGCTTATGTGCAAAGTTTCAGCTTGATAGGTTGACGGAAAGGGGGCCAGTTAGCCATCCGAAGATTTTTTTTGACATGAGCCAGAAAGAAACACACAAATAAAAGCGAATCTAATATTTAGGATTTATATATAATATATATATATATATATATATATATATATATATATATATATATATATATTATATAACTGTGTTCAACTTGAAAGTTGTAAAATTAAATGACATGTTATGATGAGATTAACACATATTTTTTAAAAGTTCATACATTAGTAGTTAGGATTTCAAGCCCTCTTTCTACATACCAAAATACTATTAAATGATTATAAATACAAAAATATTCATGATTAATGACATTAGCTTATAAACCGCACTTATTATTTTTTTTTTAAAATCCTATCTATGAGTATCCCTAAAATATTATTGCGTTATCTGTCATAATGGAATCAGTGACCCTGATTAAGGCTATCAGGTAACCATTGCCTTAGTTCATGTCATTTTTTAAACGAAGAAAACATATTCCAACATTGAAGACACTAGCAAATGTCCTTCCCG